AAACCTTGCTTCAGACTCCAGAGGAATGTAAGATTATGCTGAGTGGTAAAACCACTCAGCTCTCTCTGCATTCTGTCCATGGTACACAGAGCGTTGATGGAGTGCATGGTTAGGACTTAGGCGAGTCTGAATTGATAGAGAACTTTGAGGGGTTGAAAAAGTGGTATGTGTACGTGAAGAGAGGGAAAATAATTGTGAGTGGAAGTACTTTGTTTTATTTACTGAGGTTAAGAACGAAGCGTACTGTGAGGCTCGTGGTGTGTCACAACAAGCGAGTGAAAAGGCAAAACAAAGGGCAGGAGCAGGTACTGTCGGTGTTCGGCTTGTCAAAGTTATCCTAGAATTAAGATTCAACTTTCCGGCGAGATGACGGAGGATGCCGTCGGGAAGTAGTTGACGACTGAAAGTAGTGTAAACTTTCGCCACATCTGGCCTCTTTCTATAACACTGGACGTGTGGAATGATGTCATTTTGTCAAAGATGTACGGTACGGACCGTACTGTACATTACAGTACCGTAGGGTACGCTGATTGGATGATACTGGTTCGGAAGGATCCGGCCACTCTTCGTCTCCTCCGCGACAAAGACGAAAACTACTCTGGTCTTTTACCAACCCGCAAACGTGATACTTCCTGCTTTGCATACAACTCTGATCATTGCTTCTCTTCCTCTAAATACGCCTGCAACTGCCCCTCCCTTCTGCGCTCATCATCGTCAGGGTGGGAATGGCCCCGCGACGCAGCTCCCGGATACGAAAACCGACCATCAAGTCGGCGGCTGATGGGGTGGGCGATTCCACGCATTCTATGAAATCACCTAGAAAACGAAAGCGCCCTCTTTCAGATTCTCAAAGGACAACAGAGAAGATTGCAAAGAGGAATCACCGCCCCGCCAAACCGAAAGACGACAAGAAGGATGTTGACGAAAATGAGGTCAAGGTTGGGGACCAGGCCATCAGCGACGCTATGAGAAATAACTGTGCAGCCGCGGCTGAGCCCGAGAATGCCGTGGAAAACGAGGGTGCGCCCGACCGTCCATGGGGAGCTTTAGACGACCCCCACAAGCTCAAAGTTATCACATGGAACGTGGCCTCGTGCCGCTCCATGATCAAGAACGGCTCACTTTTACGCTACATACAGCAGGAGGCTCCCGATATTCTATGCTTGCAGGAAACAAAAATGACAGATAAGGCCGTCAAGGAGTTCCCAGAAGTAGCAGCCTACGATGTGCACTGGAACCATTCGGAGAAGAAAGGGTATTCTGGAGTAGCAATACTAGTGCGCAGGGATTTGGACGAACGGAAGAAGGTGCGGGTAAAGAGGGTAGAGGCGGGAATAGGGCTTGCTGAGGCGGACAAGGAGGGCCGCGTTTTAGTGTGCTACCTTTCAAGTGGAGCAGCGATTGTGAATGCGTACGTGCCAAATTCGGGTCAGAAGCTAGCGCGCCTAGAATTCCGAACGAAGGAGTTTGAGGCTGGGCTTCGAAAGTTTTTGGACGACCTAGCGAAAGAGCACCGGGTCGTCTACTGTGGAGATTTAAACGTCGCTCACAATGAAATTGATATCCACAACAGTAAAGCGAATCGCAAAAACGCAGGTCATACTCCCGAAGAAAGGGAGGAGTTTTCGAAGCTGCTGTCGAGCGGGGAAGGGTGGGTCGATTCCTTCAGGGAGCTGTACCCCAGCGTGCCAGGGTATACGTATTTTTCTCGGCGGTTCGGGGCGAAGCTGAAGAATGAGGGAAAAGGGTGGCGGCTTGACTATCATGTCATTGATAAGGCATCGTTCAAGAGTGGTGTGGTTGGAGATGTGTATGTGCGAACGCAGGTAGAGGGATCTGACCATTACCCGGTTGTGCTAGAGTATCGATTCGGTGAGAGCGGATGAGAAGCTGCGAACCTAGAGGCGGATCTTGGATGGTTGGCAATAAACGAACTCACTGGCACGACTACCCAGCTGAACGTCAAGCACTTCTCTTACGATATCGCTCAACTAACCCCGAGATGGACCTGTATCATTTGCGAACAAACCAAAAATGAAGAAACAGGTGTGAGGATAGATAGCTGCTTCTTCACCTTTTGGCCCCGTGCGAACAGCTAATCCCCGAGATCTGGGAATTTACGTACAGTACGGAGCATACAGTACCCAAGGATACACGTGTGCTTTGAAATAGATCCAGCGTTCTCGCCACTTGCGATTCCGTCACATCGACTCTGTGGCCTGCTTGAGAGAAACACCTCGACAAACCAAACGCATCCCACGCAACGGGGCCCCAACAAAATCCCCAACCACACGCACGCACCTCTTATGCCATGGAATGCGACGCGGCCGCGAGGGAAGCGTGAAGCGAGCCATCCCACGGATGGAGTCGTGGGAAGACTGTGTCGCCTCTCTGCAGGCCGGGGCCTCCCCTGAGGAACTGCTGCCCCGCATCCGTGCTCTCTTCTCGCGCCTGCCACCGCCCGGCGCTGCCCCCGCCGCTGAAAAACACCTGGCTGCGAGGACGCCGGTGGATGAGTTGTACTACACCATGGAGGATGGAAAGGTGTTTCAGATGCCTTACTTGCGCGCACCGTTCTTTTTGTGGGGGGCAGTAAAACGTGCGGCGGGGGAGGGGGCAGGGGAGGAGGTAAGGGTCGATACCGAGTTTGATGTGGATTTGATGGAAGAGTTCGGGCCGCGGTTTATTGATCCTCCTTTGGAAGAGGTGAAAAAGTTATTGGGGGAGCAACATCTCGCCGCTGCGGTTGGAGACAGAGACGGCGGACAGGACGTGGATTGGTCCTGTCATGGAATAGCCTCACCGATGAAAACAAGTGAGGAAAGTGTACAGAAACCCAAACAACAAAGGTTCACGGCAGACGGTATCAACCGTGTTACAAGGGATTTGGCGTTGTTTTTGGGCCATTCGAAAGCACTGCAAGAGGATGATGACGGCCCAGTTTGTGACTCGCTCTCGTTTCCAACTCTCTCTTTACAAGAATGGTCACTCGCATTTTCCGGACTGGACACTTGCTTCCTCGTAAGCGCAAATCGACTAGCCAAGCTGTTACTGGCGATCAATCAGCCATCCCTGGCAAGGCTTGTACTACAATCTATCTTTCCCTTTCTGCTGGCCGGCGACCCGGGCCCGACTGAGTCAGAGCATCTCATGTCACTGCTCTCTTTCTCTGCTAGTATTGCACAGCTAGAAAAACTCCCTACTGCTCAAGTACGCGCTCTCCTAGATGTATATCGGGGGACCAGCGGTGGTGTCCTTAGTGCTCTTGCTCAACTAATCATCGTTACCCATTCAAAGCGACCCTGTTGATCCGCTTTCTTGATAAACAATCGAACCTCACTGAGACACCGCCTCCTCATGAACATCGAGCATTCTAGTCTACTTCACCAAGCAGCTCAGTTCGTTGTACAACCTGCTTACAAACTGGGCACTCTTCCCGGCGCCTGTTGATTATATTTTCCGCAATACACGGCGTGCACCATTGATGCCCACACGGAATGAGCCGGATGTCCGGCACATTGTCAAGGCAAATCCCACACTCTCCCAGTCCACCGTCTGCTTCCGCACCTTCTCCAGATCGCGCTTCGCCTTCACCATACGCTTCTCCTTTTCTCTGCTTTCTATTAGATACACGCAACTGATCCCGGAGCATGTTCGTTAGATCTGACGATTCCGAGCTTGCCTGCGTGCTTTTCCTTCCAACTGATGACCCGCGCGCTATTTCTCGAGATGTGCCTCTCAACCTTGATGCCGAATCAGCGTTCGAATTCACCTCCAATCTATCCGATCTGCGTTCACTGGGATCAATCCACGCAAGGACTGGTCTGGACTCCGTCCCAGCGCGAATTTCAAACATATTTGTACCCTGTAGACACAAACGGAGAAGGCCCCCGAAGTTTCTGTCTAAGTAAGTGGTCGCATCAGGGATGTTCCAGTCGGAAAATCTGAGCCGCGAAATGATATCACACGGCCTCGCTTCGCCGCCTAGTAACGCCACTGCACGTTCGACCTCTCCGAGAGCTTCTTCCCGCGTTGGACCAGTAACTTGCCGATTGGTATGGCGGCGTTCAGTGTCAGTCGCAGGCTGTCGTGCTTGCAGGACAGGGACTCGTGCTTGCAGGACAGGGACTCGTGGTGAAGGCGGCGATCGCGTCGTCACTCTGCTTCTCCATTCCGCAGCTGTTTGTCCTGCGGCCCGAGAGTGGGCAACTGCAGTCCGGTGCCGACGGCCTCTCATGTGACTATCAGATTCACTCTGGCTGTGAAATCTAAGCCCACAGAGAACACAATCTAAACGAGAGCTCGATTCGGGCGTGGACGAAGAACCTCCCCCAGATGTTTGCTTCACCCTCGTGTATGCAGACGATGGAGAGGGCCTCTGACCCCCCTGCCGAGATGAATTGTGTCCTCCTTCTCGTTGCAGAAGCGATCTAGCAGTCGGAGCTGATGTCGGAGCTTTAGGCTCCACTGATGCTGGTATGTGCTCCTCGCCAAGAAGCGCCGCGTACGGATTGCCAGCCAAAGCAGGTCCCCCATCTTCATCAGACGAGGACGACACGTTCTCAGGGTTAGCAGGAGTGGGAGGGGGTTCAGGTGTAGCCCTCTTCTGGGCACTCTTTGTTTTGCGTTTCTTCCGGCGAGCACTGGATTTTCGCCTATTCGTGTTTATCGAGTTCCCGGAACCCACGAGCAATTCTTCTTCAGGGCTTACGACTTCAGTGTGCTTTGCTCCCTCTATATTTGTTGTGTTCCCTGACGGCCCGGCCTCATTACTCCCAAAGAGAGTCGGCGGTAGAAGAAGAGATGGAGCCAGGTCGGTTGTCTCTCGGATAACGAATGTCACGGCATCGAGTCTCTCTTCTAGGAACCTAACTTTCTTCTTGTCCACCGGCTTGCATGCCATGGCTTCCTGAAGAGACACAACAGCCTTTTTTAGAAACTCCGTGTAGTCTGCGCCTCTGTTTGTCTTCCTGATGGCTTGTTGAAGAAAAATATCACATTGCGCTGTCAACAACTCTATCTTACAGCAGACTTCCGGTGGGTTGCAACGCCACTCCTCCGAAACAAATATGTTACCTCGTTCGCAAAGGGCGAGGCCTTTGTCGATATCGCTCAAACTCTCCTTCCACATCGCCTGCTCCGAACGAACCTGTGCCCGTTTCAGAAACAGGCGTGGCTGACGTGGTCTACCAGTGATTGCGTGCGAAATCAAGTGAGTACCTTTCGCTATGTTCCCAGCATGACTTATATCATGCGCCGTTCTCTCGATCATGCGATGACGCGTCCGGTCCACTATTGTTACGATACGACAGCGCCAGTATTTTTCATTCCCAGAGCGCTCTCCGCAGGCCCTCTCAAAAGCATCCGAGAACGACTCACCTTGCTCAAGGTACATGGGCGGGTTCAGAGCGGGCTTCATCAGCCTTGTCATTAGATGAGATATATCTCTCAGTAATATATGATAAATCCATTCTTCTTCCTTTGTTACATGTCCAAGACGAGACCAATTAAAAAGATTCCTGTTCACATCTTCCGTACGGCTCGCTAGTAGGGTATCGCAAATGTCCAAATCATTCTCTGACTCTCCTGGCTTCAGCGACAATGACTTCTGCGCAACGACGGAAGCACTCTTTGAGAACTGGAATGATCTTCCCTTGTCGCCATGGTGGAAAGGGTCTGGAAATAATCCGAATAGGTTGAGTGTATCTCGGATCATGATAAAGAGCATAAAAAGGAAATCTATGTTCGGAAAAGAACGATAAATTCGTTCCAGAGATGATATAAAATTGTATTGTATGTCCCTCGCAAAGGCAACCTTGTCGCCTCGCCAGTAAACCTCGCTTTGCAGATGGCACAAGTATACCACACCATGGACAAGAGCTGGAACGTCAAAAGCCATTTCATATCCACTCGCATAGTATCCGGTTCCCTGCCACAGATCACGGGCCAGAAACGTTCTCCTTTCCCTTCGAGAGTCTGTTTCTATATCGTTTAGTGCACCTTTAGCCACGTCCAAATCAGTTGATACAAACCTTAAATTCCACATCTTTCGTGCAAAACAGCTGGCGCAACGCTTGTCGCAGATCTTTTTCTTCCGCTTGCTACTACTTGCCGCCGCGACGTGGTTCCCAAATATCCGCGTGAAGTCGACTGAGCGATTCGTTCTAAAAGTCTTTCCCATGACTTCTTTGAGCATAGCCCGTAGAATCATGGAGTGATTGCTTCCGTTTCCCTTCGCATTGCTCTCTTGATTTAAAATAGAGCGATGTTCATCTCGTCGTTCGGGCAGCAAGCCGGCGCTACGAGGGCCGCGCTCATCATCCGATTCATAGCATTCATCACTGACCTTGCCACGAAGTTCCCTCGCAGCTACCTCAGGCGGTAAGGTCGGCACTTTAAAGGGCAACTTTGCATGAGCTGCAATCACAGATGGTGAAAACGGAGACTTCAGACAGTCTGCGGGCGGCGGTGTTCTAGTCCTTGGTTTCACGAACCAAGGCTGAAAGTTGGTAGGCGAAAGCATCGAAGCTGTGGCTGAAGCAATAGCAGCACCGTTGGCTCGCCCCACGCCCTGTTTCGAGCTCAGTTCGCTGCTAACTTCAACCGTAGCTTTCGGATGTGCCGGAAACTGTCGCTTTTTGGCAGATCCTTGCGCGGGCTTCAGAGACTTCCTTGTTCGCTGAGGTCTACCGTCTGCAGTTTGAAGATTACGTGACGATTTGACAGAAGAATCGAAAGGAACCGGACCGTCGAAATCGCCGTCGCTGCCTTCAGAATCCGAGCCGCCATCTTCCTCGGAAACCAGATCTGGCATGTTACTATCTGTAGTCGCAACATTTTCGTCTCGCTCGCTTGAAGCGAGAGATGAAATGCTACCGTCTCCCGAAGAGTGGGAGTTCGCTAAATCTGGCTCACTGTACTGACCGCCATCACCCTCAAAGGGGCTCACAGACGAAACAGTGGGGCGATCGCTGAACTGATGGTCGCATGGACCGTTACCATGACGATGGAGATGAGGGCATAGGTCCTCGATCTTCACAAAGCCGTCCAGGTTGCCATCCTCTCCCTCTGAGTCGTCGTCGCTCCTCTCACTATCCCCTCCCCCTGAGTCTTCGTCGCTACTCTCTCCATCCCCTCCGTACTCATCCTTATCATCCTTCATCGTGGACACGCCTCCCGACGAGGATGAGCCAGCCTTGCGAGCTTTCGTGGAGCAGCTCAGTTTGGCATTCAGATGCCTCTCAAATGGATCGATGAGGGCGCTGAACTCCTCTTGGGGGATTTCGCTTCCGAAATTGTCAGCCAAGGATTTGCGCATCGAGGTTAGGACGTCTCGAGCAGAACTAGCCTCCTCAAAGTTGTCGAGCTCGATATTGGCACGGCCCATGCGGATCAATATCTTGCAGTACAACTTAGGATTTTCCATTCCCAGCTTGGGAAAGGCATTGAGACAGTCGAGGCACATGTCAATGCACTTCGGGTATTTAGCAAGATTGTACATGCATGTAGCGCGGTTGGAGATCAAAGTGGGATCTCCAGGGTTGAAGCGTGAGGCGAGGCCGAACCTGGCGTTGGCTTCTCGATACCGTCTCTGACGGAGAAGACGAACAGCGATAGATTTGAGATGGGCAGCAAACTGGGTTGCCTCCGGCGAGTTGGTGGCATAGTCGAACAGGGATTTGGCCTGCAGCTCGAGGTCCGCACGGACGGCACGGGATATGCCGACATTGTGACGCTCAGCTCGCGCAAAAAGAGACTTAAGGGCCTCTCTGCGCACGGTCCCCATCGACGCACGCCGGTGGGTAGGTCTTCCCGACGACGGGGGCATGATGAGATGGTTTCTCAAAGTAGGGGGCGGACGGTGTGGAGAACGGATCCAGCGTCTACACAAAACTCGTTAAACGTCGGCGTGGAAGCAAGACCGGGGGAGAGACTACCCTTGGGGCACTGGATAGAATCGGACTGGTTCTTCAGTAATTGTGAATTGGTGTACAATATGAAACGAAAGTGATCATTGGACAAATGACAGGGTGAATAGGGCATTACAGTCAGCTATGCAGACACCTCATCGACTTTAAAGGATTAAATTTGCGTCCTTGTTGGAGGTGCTGCATCTTTAATTCGAAGATAGGCGGAGATCGGGTATGTCCTCATCCCTGTTGGCGATGGACCCCTGCATGTGCTCAAAAATAACGGCTTTCAAAGAAGGTCGGCTGATCGCCATGCAGTGGTGCTTGTCTCCACACACACACATGCACAGCAGCACACCTAGAACCCAAGAACACACCGTCGTCCTTCCCGCCTATAAAAGGGCGTCTTAGGGAACTGACAGTGAATATGACGGCACGAGACTCTCGCCATCACAGGTTATTGGCACCATCGCTTAACCCGGTGCAGTCTGTGCGTGAAGAAAAAATGGAAGTTTAGTTTATCATACTACTACATGATTGGTTTCCAGCCTACCTCGGAGTGTGGGTGTATTAGTCTTCTTGCCCAACATTTTGCTCCCAAACTGTTAGCCCCTTTTAATTAACGAAAATCGCAACTAAATATGCGAATATTTAGGAAAGTGCGTGAAATCCTGTTTCAATTAGGAAGACCAGTTCCGACTAAAATGGATGCTATTTTGCGACTGTACGGAAAATGACTATTTTAGCAAGTCAGGGCGGACAGGCGCTCACTAAATTTGAAGACTGTTTCTCTTAACCTCCCTCCTCTTCGCCTCCTTCCCCTTTGCCTCCTTCTTCTTCGTCTCCTACCTCCCTCTCCGCTTCTTCCCTACCTTCCTCCCTCTCGTCCCCCTCCGTCTGCGCCTTCAAATACCCCCGCCATGACGGACACCATCCCGTGCAACCCCCAAAACATGCCACTCACAGCCTATTACGGCCTCTCAACGGTGCCACAACTGTTTCCCAACAGTCCCGGTCCCATCTAGCCGCCAAGAGGCGCTCGCTCACGCCGCCCACCTGACGAAAACCCTATCTTTGCCTGCTCTGCTTCATCACAGCGCCCGCCTACGCCGCACGTCCGAGTCTCTCGAGCGCAAACTGAACTTGTCCAAGCACCCTTACTCCGCCCACCTGTCCTGTCGTTCGCCCGCAACATTTCGCGGATCTCGCGAGGATCGAGAAGGAGATATGTCAAGTGCGCATGGGCAAGGAGAAAAGCCTGGAAACAAAGGTCCTCAAGCCAGGATTCCGCTACTGCAAGATCCTGAGAGGCCTGGGATACACTCATTTCATCGAGAAAAAAATCTGACATAGCCATTGGCCACATACTGAAGCGCGTTACCGACGACCTGCTGTGCAAGAGAATGGAATTGACTGTGGGAGAACGGGTACCGACCGGTGTCGGTAAACGTAACGACCCGGAGGGAGATCCCGTAGGGGTGATCAGACGATATTGGAAAGGCAGGGGGGTAATTCAGCTTGTACACGGGGTGCACGTACCGCCACGGGTGACAGGTGGCGGCGGAATGGCCACGTGTACCGCCGTACGTATAACGTCCCGATCGGGTACAGTAGACTAGTAGTTCCTACTGTAGGGGCGTAGAAATTAGTGTGATGAAAGTGTCAACCGGGGGAGTCCCAGCTAGCACACGTGGTGCGCGCTCTGCCTGCGAGTACAGGTGGCAGGAGCCCAGCCACGTGTGCTGCTGTGCAGATTACTCCCCGGTGGAGTACAGTAGAGGTACTCCACTGTAGTGATCCAAAGTAGAAGTGGATCACTACTGTACTGCCCGGTCGCCGGAGGTCGACGTACTTAGGGGCTGAGGCAGTACGCTCCCAGAGTAAAAAGGGGGTAGCGACCCCCGGGGCGAGAACTTAGAAGAAAGAGGCAGATCGTCCCGCACGGGTTATTCTTGAGGGCCGGAAGCACACGCTCCCCAGTTTGGTCGTTCCACCGCCTGGTGGAAGCGTATGCCCATTGAGCCCTATCCCCTCCGGGGTCGCAATTCCACTCGTCCGTTTACCGGAGTCATAACCGCCGCCCTCAAAGAGAGGTTGGTGGTGTTGTAATTTTACCGCTGCCGTGGACACCCCCTCCGTGACGGGGTAAAAACCGAACCGGAAGGATCCATATTATTACAACTGGTCTCCCGACCTAGAAATCTATTTCTAGGATTCTTTTATTGATTTCCGAATCGGACGACTGAGATTGGAAGGGATCGAGAATCACCGCCTCGTCTCAAGATGAGTGGACGAGAAGACGCGAGATCGCAGGGGGGCTTCCCCCGAGACGGAAGGGACGACGAGTCAGTAAATCGGTCCCAGCTGGGCGAACCAAGTCGCACGGACGGCTCGACAGAGAACGCGGGCTCCGTTAGAAGCGCCGAGGCACGAGCGGCGCATGTGGATCGCTTGGCACGCGCAAGGACGCGATCGCAGACCAGAGCGGCATTACCACCGACGCCGGCGGAGGGGCCCCTCGAAGGCCGACAACGCGGAGAGAGCGAGCCGACCCCCGCCATAATTGGCGACGAACGTCCAAATAGGATGACAATCCACGGAGACGCCTTAGAGGCCCACCCGGACCTAGGGGACCTGACCCAGAGGGCGGCCCTAAACGCGTGGTTGACGGCCGAGCTGGACAAGCGAATCCCGGCTGCCGTGGAGGCGCAATTGACAAGCACGCTCCGAAAGATCGTCGAGGATCACAGCCGGACCCTCGTCAGGAGCGCTGTGGACGACGTAGTCGGACGCAGCCCCTTCTGGGACACGATCACGTCAACCGTGGGGGACGTTACCCGGGCAGAGGTGCGCGCTCGAGCGCCGCCGGCGGAGCGACTGCCGTTGGCGGCAACGGACGTATTACCGCCGTCGCTGATGCTTGGGAACGCGCGGCCGCAATACCCTCATATGGGACGTGAGACCCCGTGGGATGGAGAAGAGCGCGATGGCCGACTTCAAGCCCAAGAGATGAGACAGCCACCCGCGTTTCCGCCCGGGGCCGGTCGCGTAGTGCTGCCGACGCAGAAGTACCGGAGAAAGACCAAGAGCAAGGGATACGAGACCGACGGATCGGAAGCTAGTGATACCACGAGGGACGAAACAGACTCCTCTGGGGACGATTTCGAAGTAGACGTGAGGCATGTGCGTCGGATTCGCCCCCTAAACGACCTCTTTAAAAAGGTCATAGATTACCGCCGGTATCGGCTGCACAACCGTTCGGGACGATACAACGCCAAAGTTGCCAGCACGGTTTCGAGGGCCGGGAAGCGGATGGCTCTTCAGATGAAGGGCGTGACCTTCAGCGGAGACGACCCGATTGCGGTGCTAAATTTCCTCTCCAGGTTTACGGCGGCGTGCAATCAGAACGGCGTGCATGAGGGAGCGGCCGTCTGGTGCTTCCAGTTCTTCATGACTGGCACGGCCCTGGCAAAGGTGCAGACCCGTATCGTGGGGGAGTCTGGTGTAGCCGACGCCCGTAGGGACGAAGTGTTGTCGTCCTATCCGGAGGTCGTCAATTACCTCCTCAGGACATACGCGACGAATGAAGTCATCGCAGAAGCCTACGCCGAGGTAACGAACTTTATACAGAGTTCGGGGATGTCCGAGACGGAGTATGGCGACCGTCTCTGGAGAAAAGCCCTCCGCTGTGGAAATGTCTTCTCCGATAATCGGCTCAAGTCGCTCTTCGCAGAGGGCCTCCTCCCGACAATTCGTACGCAGGTGCGTCACCACCTCACGACGCATCCCCGCATAGCTTTTACGGAGCTAACGCGGTACGCCGAGGGCATGGGAACGGCCTACCGGGGCGGAAAGAATTACCCGGCAACCGCAGGGAGCCGGGACCGCTCGGGCCACCGGACAGGACGCCAGCAGCGTAGCCTGCTCCTCTCAGAAGAATCGTCCGAACCGGGTCCCCTCGAGGAAGTGGATGTTTTCTCGGAGCGCCCGCTCGCGATGGCGGTCGAGACGGCCGCGTTCCCCTCGCCCCCAGGGACACGCACGACGTACTTCACAGCCTCTCCAGGTTCGACGGCACCAGACGGTGGGAGCAGTATGTGGCCCAAGCCAAATACACCCCCTCAGGGAGGAGACGCCCGGCGTTGGGAGCCGCCTCAGCAGGACGCGAGCAGCGGAACGCCCTGCCGCCTCTGCCTTTCGCGGGAAAGACCCTGCTGTCATGGGATGCCACCGGACGTCCGAGCTCGGATTTTAGCCCAACGGGAGGCAAACTTCCAACAGAGACGCACCCAGAGGAATTACAGCCCCGGGGGACGGGCTCGTAGCACACCAAGGGCGAATTCGTCACCGAGTTTCCGGACAACCTCGTTTCCAGGGGTCCCGCAGGGGACCCAGATTATCGAACCGGGCGCGTATTCCGGCGGCGCCCACGGAAGGAGACCGGGAAACGACAGGGAGGCAGCGTAGAGGCTTCTGTCTCCCTTAAACCGAGCCTCGTCCGGAGGGGAGCATCCTCGACCCGAAGGACACACCGGCACCGGCAGAAGGGAAAGCCTCGTGGGAATAATGTAGCAAGAGACCCGATTTGCGTCCTGAGAAAGGAGAACTATAAATTAGACCTGTCAATCGGATGCCGACCGACGGTTATGTTTCCTATCAGGGGTGTCCTAGACACTGGAGCCGGCCCTAACATTATCCACCAGCGCGTCCTTCCCCCGAATTGGAGAGAGAACGCGGCGAGAAAACCGACCCCACGGGTAACGGACGCTTCGAAGAATGCAATGGCTCTTAGCGGGGTGGTGGTGCTACACGTCCGAATTGGAGATATGACCACGAGGACGCATTTTTTAGTGGCGAGCAACCTAGCGGTGAGCGCCATTTTGGGGACGGAGTTTATCGATCGCCATGTGAGGGGCAT